CTGCCAGTTTACACTGTGTGAAGGATCCAATATAATTGAATAGTGCATTATAAGGCCTCGTTCAGATGGGCGCTGGTACCTGTGTTGTGTGCTTTCTGCGTTTGTTTTTGGTGTCTGGATCCACCTGTGCTATGTGCAGGCAGCCTACAGAGTTTGCCAAAATTTGACAGACATGCGGGGGGAAGAGGAAGGTCTGTATGGCTTTGGAAAAAAAGCAGGTATGTTTTAAGTTAAAAAAAGGACTTAAAAACAGAGATTTATTTTTTGCAAAATCAGACTGGTAGTGAATAAATAACAAAATCACTACTTTGTTTGAATGTATGCTATGATGCAGCATTTGTTAAAGGTGTAACAGCATATAATCTATGGCGGTATGAATGTAATCATATTAGATACAAACTGTTCTACAAAGGGTTTTTTAGCTTGTCCACTATTAGGAGGGTGATTTTAAGCTGAAAACAAGAAAGAATAAAGCAGAAGTTTGGATTTTATAGAAGGAGGGGGGACACTGGTTCCCCTTTTTTCTCCCTGTATTATGGTTTCTCATCATGTTGAGCAAGACAAAAGCATTATTTTTATGTCTGAAACATCCAAATCATTTTCTGCAGCAAACCAGATTCTTGCTTCATCCCGACCACAATACATAAAGAGGCACAATCTATAGCCTTATTCATCCTTACGTTTCATAAATCCGTTTAAACAAGAGAAAAACTGATTTTCACTTCCCCTCAATCCTGTGTTTCGCAATGTGCAATAGAACAAAAATCACTCTATTTTCCTGTAACAGTCTTTAGAGGACAAAAAGTGGTTCTATTTTTTTTTTTTTTTGCACTCTTAACTGCTTTTCTGAGCTTGAGAAAAGTCATTTCAGAGAAATACATAAATGCATTTATGTGGTTGATATGCACAAGGAGTAGATTAGGTCCTATTTGCACAGTGAATTTTTATTCAATTTGTTGAGGCAATGCTTATTTTAATTATTCAATCATTTTTTAGCATGATTATGTATTCCTTGCAAGGTAAATGTTTACTTTGCTTCACTTCAAAATACTTTGGTCCTCTAGTAAATCAACTCCTATGTTATTGATGTATGACTAATTGTATCAGTGTGAAGGCAGAATAACAATTATGATCAATATATAAATTATTGGGCTATAGCTGTTCATAAAACCACATATTTATTTAAAAAATCTGCATCAGAAGTAAACATGCAAAAATAAGGTCATATTCCTAAAGTGGCAAACACTCAATATATTTGCCTGTCGCTTTTAACAGTTATTGATTCAAACAATGAATCTCAGGAGTTGATTTACTAAATGGGTGGACGATGGTCAGTGTGCTTAGTTGTGTTTAAATCAACTATCCAATTACGGAGAACGAAAAATCTCTTTTGTTAATTTCTCTTGCATATGACTGGATAGATTAAGTTGACCTTATTAACTAAGCTTGGTGAACATTCACTTTGCAAAGCAAACAGTCCCTATTACTTTATTACATTAGTCCCATTGATAGCATCCATTTTTTTTTCAGTGTGGATTCCCATGGAGAGAATTCAAAGCATATTTTCTGAGAGTTGTCACCCTACACATTATTATTATTATTATTACTACGAGTTTATATAGCGCCAAAGGGTTTGCTCAGCGCTGTACAATAGGGGGGGACAATACATGGCACAGTTGTCACCCAGCAGATTTGCAAGTACTGCCTTTTTTCCCCTACACCCAGGGCATTAAATGTTATGTTATATAGTTATAACTACTGCAAACATGGGAGAAAATGCCCATGAATAGGGTCATATTTATGCATAGGCTTGTACCTATATTGGAAATCTCTTTTTAATTGGGCCCCTTTAGAAATATAGGAATATTATATTGTATAAAAAAAAATATAAAAAACAAACAAACAAATTACACAGCTGTAAAGCTATGAGATAATATATTATTTTATTATAGTATAAATATGTCTGCATATTAATATATTTGGCATAGTAATTAATTGAAGTAACTGGATTTGTGAGATTAAATTTTACATTGAAAAAGTTTACATATCAATTTACAAATGACTGTCTCCATCTATAACATTTATTTGTAGCACCAAAATTGTCTGCAGCACTGAGCTAGGGAGAACATGTTGGAGTTGGTAGCATGAACCATTGCAAATAAAAGCCTCATTCCTACAAGTTTACAGTCTAGAAGGGGCATATGGAAGGGGTTGATTTACTAAATGATTAGAGAATATTCACTTAGTTTAGTGAATAAAGTGTGGCTGTGAAAAAAAAACCTGTATTTTAACTTTCATGTAATTGTATGATTGAAGTTAACAGCTCTGCACTACACTTACTATGCTACATTAATATTCTCTTCTCTTTTATCCCACCGGATAAGGAACTTCTATCAGCAGTATGCAAATTTAGGACTCTTTGCAACTGATGAGTTTATCGGCACGAAGGTTTTGTGTACTTTTAATATGAAACAAATATGTAGACATTTTTCAGCACAAATAGAGGATGTAGAATTTGTACATATTATCTATATTGTGTTCTCATTTTACAGTGTGTTTCTGTACTTAGAAACCTAACAAGAAGCTGTTAATCATTTGTTTTTTTTTATAATTACTCCTACATTGTAAGCTCCCAGGAGCAGGGCCCTCCTATCCCTCTTGTATTGAACTGTATTGTTGCTGTATTGTTTCCCATTATATTGTAAAGCGCTGAGCAAACTGTTGGCGCTATATAAATCCTGTATAATAATAATAATAATTATTATTATTTTTATTACAGGTACCTATATAGTGCTGTCAATTTACGCAGCACTTTACATATATTGCACTAGCACATCAGTCCCTAACCCTCAAGGAGAGTACAATCTAAGGTCTCTAACTCACATCCATACATACACATACTAGGACCAATTAAGTAGCTAATTAACCTACCAGCATGTCTTTGGAGTGTTTATAATTAACACTTGAGGCTAGGCATGTTGAAAATACATAACCTAGCGGGATCCTGATTGAACATTTATTTTTTTAAAAATGTATATATTTGGAATGTTATTCAGGAGCATAAACATTCATCAATGGAGGAAGGAAAGCAAGATGTTAGAGAACAACCCTATTAGACATGTGGAGGAGTAATCGGCTAGAGCAGTTGAGATTGGCCATACACTGATCACATTTCGACTGTTAAACTTCATTGCACACTGGAGCTTTTGTAATCGCTTTTCTCCAAGCAGGAGGAAAGCAGCTTCAAAAACACGCCTAAGTGGTGATTTGAAAACGCATTTAGGTGTGTGTCAAACGCTTGAGTGTTTGTTTTTTTCATTGGCCAGAATATTAATTTATTCTGTCCACTGATATAAAAAAAAACACCTAAACTAAATGGGCATTGCACTTAGGCATGCTTACATGCGTTTACATGCATTTTTTACAAATGCTCCCCTCTTGAATGCACAAGTGATGTTTTTTCTCTGCCTATAAACGCCCCTGCCTCTAAACTTCTGGAAACTCCTATGTATTCATGAACATAGGCTGACATGAAGGGGCATGTAGAAGCAGAAAAAAAATCATTTGTGTATTGCAAAAGAAGCATTTTTGAGCTCAAGTGTGCATGATGCCTTAACCTGGCCATGCATTGCTTGCATTTCGGAGGTCTCTTGCTGGTTTGGATGAAATTTGACAAATGTATGGCCCTCCTAAGTTCAACAAAAGTTGATTGTTCAACTGATGTTTATCAAAGGAGACTTTTAGAAAATCTGTCATCACAGCACCTGAATTCCAATCAGATGCAGGCACTGTTTGGGTACGTCTACAGCCTAAACACGCACCATAGGCTGTCGAAATATAATAGCCTGGAAAGGGAGATTGCTCCATCTGCTCTGTTAGGGTGGATGCAGAAATCTGTTGGATTTCTTTTATTTAGCCTGTGGGCTGAACAAAAGAAATCTATAAGGCCTCATTTACACATGCAGCTGAGGAGTGGTAAACACAGGCGCTTGATCCCCATTTATACTGCCCCAACCATCCCCTCCATGACCAACAAGCCACAAGTTACTATGGTGGTGAGCAGGAACGGCAAGTACATATTGCCACAGTGGCAGCGCTGTATGATTTAGACTATTTTCACATTGATCCATAGCAAAAGCATGGTAACACAAAAGCAGAAGAAAAATGGATCAGTGCAAAAGCAGTCTTGTAAAATGTGTCTTGTTTGGCTGGCAGAACTAGCGCCAAGCACAGCTCATTCAACAAAGTGAGACTGCACAACAAGCATATGTAAGGCACTCATTTACTACAAGATGCAGAGGCCTTTTCATGGTTAAAACAGGCGTTCCAAAGTGAATATACACTTTAAATATCCAATCAGGTGCAAGGCAAATGGGAAAAAAGCAGGATTTTTCCTTACATCTGATTGGATGTTGGCCGTTCACCTAGCAAAGGGAATATTCATTTAACTTAGAGAACAGGGTGGTGTTGTATCCACTTCTGTCATACAAGCTCGTATCCTGTTTTTTAAAATATTTTTGAAAATTCTGTCAATCTTTCAAAAGTTTAGCTTTCCTTTAATAATACCTAGTGATTATACAAATGAGGATCATTCAAGCATTTCCTGGTTTAGGGTGACAACTGTCTCCCAGTTGTGCTCCTGTGTTGTCACCCTGTCACAGGCACCCCTGATGGAGACTACAATATTATGTGCTGCACACATTGCACAGGCACGGCCATCCATTGTCACTGTCAGGAAGCCGATCCAGAGCAAAGGTGTTAAGCTGACTCTGAAATGAATGCATATAGATAGGAAGTGGTTGAAAGAGACTGAAGGAGATCAGTGGAAAAGATGAAACAGTATATTTAAGAACATAGCAATTGTTTATGTCACACCATGCTTTAGCAAACTAAATGTCAACCATGGTTTAAACCTAGTGGTTTAGTTGTGCTCTATATAGCAATGTTAGGTCAATGAAACTTTGCCCTGTGGCAGTGTCACATTTGTGCCATCATCTTACCTGGGCATCGGTGAGCCCCAGCATGGCCGCCAACTGCTTTCTGTCTGGCTTGGTGACATATTTTTGCACTTCAAATCTTTTCTCTAGCCCCTTCCTTTGGAGATTGGAGAAGACAGCCCTGGACCATGACCTCTTCCTCTTGTACGTCTGAGGCATTGTATCCTTGGTGAGGACTGCATATGGGCCTGACGAGCAGAAACAGAAAATATCATGAGATGACCATCTGCCAAGGGTGGGGGGAGTTCTACTTCTAAGTGCTGCGTCTTGTAGTTCTATAAAAATGGGAGACACAAAAAAAAAAGTGTAGCTTTTCCCAGCATCAACCAACCAGAAGTCATCCAATATGCCCTCTAGGGGCTAAACAATAAATTGCATTGGTTGCTTTTAGCATATAAGATATATGATAATATATATAGATAGGCAAATCAGTTCATAAAGTGGGTGAACACATACTATTTGTATCATTGTACAATTAAGCCAAACATATGCAGATCTGAGCTGTGAGGGTGATATCGTACAAAACTTTAAAGCCTAAGACTGGTTATAGAGTATTTGGGGTTTTTTTTCGACCAACCAGGGGGCTGATTGAAAAACAAACAAACAGATACCCCCATCCACACAAGAGAGGCAAATAGAGGAATCATCCCCACTGAGACAATGTATTGTGACAGCGGGACTCCTCCACTGTCAGAATTCATTGATCAGCGGCTGCAGCCCATTCGTTACAGACGCTGATCAAGAAACATTTTCCATCAAACTTGTTCAACAGAAGCCAATCATTAGATCAACATCTGTCGAGAGGGAGTGGCCACACATGGATAGAAATTTAGCTGGTCCCTGCTGAACCATCTGAATTCAATCGATCTATGGCCAGGTTAAAGAAGAGTTGCTTCTTACTGTGGCATGACCCCACTGAGATTGATTTACTAAAGAAAGACAATGTTGACTTAGTAAATGTCCACTGAGTTTAGTAAATAGGATGAAGCTGTGTTCACATGATCAACCATTCAGGATGAAGTTCGAATGATCAACCAATCACATGCTAGCAAAAACATTGGTTTAATCATTTCTCTTGCAAAAGATTGGGTCTTCAAAGTAAACACAGGTTCACCTTCTTTAAAGGGGAACATGCAGTTTCCTAAGTGAACAGCCTCAACTCCTTTAGTAAATAAATCTACTTTTAATTGTATTTTGCTCACTAAAGTATGTCATGGATTTATTAAAGAGGTAGAGTATGTATACTCTGAAAAAGGATGTTTACTTATTTTAGAATAAGGTGAAGCTGCGTTCACTTCAATGATCCAATCATGAGCAAGAGCCAAATATTGTTTATTATTATGATTGTTCCCTTTCTGATGACTGGGTATTCAAAATGAACAATAGCTTTACTTTATTTACTAAGTTAAGGGAACAGTCTGCACTCTTTCAGTAAATCAATCCAAATGTATACACAGGATATCTTTTCATTTCTTTGAAGCACAATTAACTTCAGTCAACCAATATTCTGCAAAGTAAATCTATGCTTTTTTAAATACTTGGCCATTTAAGGTTAATGCACATTTTCTTAGCTAAATGACATAATTTTTCCCCTTTAGTAAATCACTCCCAATGTGGGTACATTTATTAAAGTGGATACTTTTAGGCTGGCTTTTGTTCACTTCAAATACAGGGGCTGATTTATTAAGGTCAAATGGGCTGTTCACTTTTGCAAGGGAAGTTGTGCTTTGCAAGGGTATTTTTCTCAGAGCTTAGAGAACTTGGGGACATTACACTTTGCAAAAAATACCCAATCACATGCAAGGAATTTTTCTTTAAAAAAGCATTTTGACTTCAATATGGGGGCAAATTCCCTTACAAAGTGCAACTTTCCATGCAAAGTGGATGTTCTAGTTGCCTCTAGTAACCCCCATTGAATCAGGATCAGTCAAAAAGAAAGAATATTACCCTGAACCCAACTGAATGTTTGAACACAAGCCAGTGTAAAAAAATATTTAAATAAACAAGCCTTCATGTGTACATATGTACATAATACATAACCAAATGATCATAACAATAAGGAAGAAATAATAATGATGATAAAACTGTGGTAGGTTTTTGCATTCTTATTGTGCAATTAAAAGTTTTATTTGGAATTGTTTAAAGGGGTACTAAACTGGCCCATAGAAGGCCATTCATGTTATAGGGGAAATGTTGCAGTGATGGTGTTTTAATGACAGCAATGGGCCGTAAAAGCTCCCATTAGCCAGTGTGGTAGTTATAAATGTGTGAGCTGTGAACTATAGATGGACTGGCCGGGAGGGGACAGTACCTGGGAAGGTGTCCTGGAACTGCTGCTGCACTGAGCTCCTCTGGTTGCTGTTTAGTTGCCCCAGGATAGTCGGGGTATCACTGAGGGGCTCTAGAGAGGCGAAGAATTGGCTGGCTGTAGACTGCATGTGGGGGGCAGTGTGGACTCCTGACTGGCGGCCTGAGCTGATCAATGAGGTCAGATCTGTGATCACAAAGGAGAAGATCTGTTAACAGATCCAGCTGTACCCACTGGCATGCCAGCATCCACCCCAGCACTGTGCCCCACTCACCCCCACCCACTCTGCATTGTACAATGGATACAACGTAACAACTCCACATTCTGTTCTATATCATACAGCACACATCTATAAATCACAAAAGATGCACTGCATGCTTTTATACAGAAAACAAACCATTCTACATAAAAAATAATCCAAAACTCAGTTGTACATAGAATATTAGTTAATACTCATTAATTCTAATTAAAATAAATAATTCACAAAAAATCTATGTTCTATCCATTTTTTACTAAATACAACTTGTTACTCTGCTGTACTTACATATATAATACAAAGCTCAAATCTACAATAAAAAATACTGTAATACTCCACTCTCCTAAAGATACAATTAATAATATATATTGCTCATTCTATATAACATACAACTCATTGAAAAAAAACTGTAAAATTACACAAACCTATGAAAAAAATACTGTAATACGTTGTTCTCCTTAAAAAACAGTTAATAATATGCATTGCTCATTCTATATAAAATGCAACAAAATCTTTGTACCTAGATAAATAATACAGACTCTACATAGAATATGTTGCAATACTCAATTCTTTTTAAAAATACAATAAATGAAAGATATGTACTCTTTATTCTATACAAAATACTACACCTTATTCCATTGTACATTGATATATAATGAAGAGCTCAAATCTGCTCAGAAGATTAAATAATACTCCATTTTGTCATATATAAATATAAATATTTATATATATACTCTACACACTCTCCATTCTCTATGAAACAAAATATATGTTTCCATTGTTCATAAATATAAAATTCAGCACCCAAAAAATGAATAACAGTATTCCATATTATAGATGCAACTCCCTTTATCTTCCCTATTAGTGTGTGTGTGTTTTAAATAACTGTAATTTTTTTTATATATGTTGTCCTAATAAACTAATTAATATACTGCTCAATCAGGCTTGTGAGCTTAAAAAAATTTGAGATATTTAAAGCAACGACAGGTTCACTTATTATTATTATTATTAGTAGTAGTAGTAGTAGTAGTAGTAGTAGTAGTAGTATCATTATCATCATTATTCAACCTACAACATTCCTCTAGCAGATAAGCCCCAAATAATATTTCTAAATTTCTAATGTGATTTTTAGGTCTGTTACCTAGATTATGTTACAGTGTAGTAAAGGTGTCCTGTTATCATATCACCTAGAATTGCAATGATATATATGATGGATGATTAATGATACTGTAATCTCAGATAGAACAGACATGACCATCTGGGAACAGACTGATTTGTATTAAATAGTATTACAAGACTTCCCTAAGATTTTTACCTTGACTGTCCAATAAATGCCCTGACATCGCTAGGAAAATATTTGATGAAACGAATAGATTATAACACTGCAGATCTATTGCTGTGTATTGAACATTAATCATAGAAACTGCATATCAATGTAAAATGTATAAATTACATTGATGAAAACGTAACTTTTCTGCTTATACGTTTTCCTTTTAATTTCATGTGTTAGATACAAATCTTATGTATATTTTATATAACAAATATCACAAGCAGTATTTATCGGTGCGATCATTTCTTAATTATGTGTATTACATCAGTGCTACAAGATTTCTACATATGTTCATTTTAACCTTTAAAAATCGTGACTAGCTATCAGTGTTTAGCAATACACAAATAATATTGTATCGCTGATTGCATATCATGTATGTACAATAATTATATATAATATTGCCAGCAATAATGATCTGGTAAAGGAATATAAAACATACGATCAGTGTCAGAATATGTGCTATATGTCAGTCTTCTGGATAAATAATGGGCATATTTTTCCACCTACTGGGGACAGGGTCATGTCATTTTTTTTCTACCAGTATTCAAGATATACTATTACATATATTGTGTACGGATTGACTAGAAATGTTTTTAGAAATATTCAGGAGGAATTGTTATCTGGAGATCCACCAGAAAGTGATATTTTATAAGCGGACCAAGAAGATACTCTCCATATTTATTATTTCATCTGCACATGATTAGATACTTGAAGGGTGTTGTTTTTTTTTTTTTGTTTTTTTTTTTTTTTGCTTGGACATTCTCCGATCTTTACAATTAACTTTAAAGCCAATTCTTGTTCATTTATTTCATCTGCAGATGAATGGATAATTGACAATTGAATAGTCAGACCAATTATTTTGTAAAGATTACAAACGCCTTTAGTAAATGAGCCCCCAATAATGTGATTAACAAAGGAAAAATTGTATTATATCAATGGTGAAGCAGTGTGCAAAAAAGATTATCTGCACTACAAATATAAGGAATGCACACACATATGTATATATTGTCTTTATATTTTAGTTGCATAATATCTATTATCTGAATGACGTAGCAGTGTGGAGAAAAGGTTACTTGCACTATAAATATAAAAAATATGCACACACATATAATATATATATATATGTAAAACTTTGTCTCTGTCTCTTTATATATATTATTGTTAATATTATTATTTGTTGTTTTTAATAATAATATATATCAATGACGTAGCATTGTGGAAAAAAGATTACTATAATTAAAAAAATATGGCAAACACACACACACATATATATATATATATTGCTCTCTCTCCTTCTTTATATATATTTTTTACATCTACATTACATCTACAGCAAAAAAAATAATGAATACTATTGACTGATTATATAGAATGTAGAATACATATCAGAAATGTACTACTGTTACGTTTTCTATTAAATCTCACATCCCATGCAATGCACAATTGTCCCCGTGTCATTTGGTGATAGGTGACAAAGTGTTAATGGAATTCTACAAGCAATCCCCCCCCCCCCCCCCAATGGATTATTGATAACAATGAGCGATATGTGGATTATTGATCATCATAATAAATCCATCAGGCAGATTACCTCTCAGGGTGTTGCCTTCCTTCACTTTGGGGTCAAACTCTGTGGACAAGATCCGATCAATCCCGAACTTGAGGTCCTTGCTGGAGGGGGTGGGCTGGGTGCTCCCATGGGGCCCCCTGGGGTTGGGGCCCCCACGGTGGTGGTGGTGGGGTGGTTGGTAGGGGGACAGAGGGGAGATCCTGAATCCAGAGTCTGGGGTGACCGGGGTGGGTCTGAGGGGGGAGCCCCCCGTTGTCTGGTAGTGAGCCGGGTGTAGGACCCCCATGTGGGAGGATCCCGGGGGGCTGTCAGGGTCCCCCCCCACATGGAGGATGTCAGCGATGCAGAAGGAAGGTTTCTTAGCGGGGTCCGGAGGAGGGAAGCCCCCCGAGCAATAGGCAGACCACAGATTGAAGTGAGAGGCGGCATAGAACGGGGCCAGGCCGGTGGTGTACATGGTACAGGCTGATCTCACAGGGGCCCCCGGGGTGTGGGGCCAACACTCTCCGCTCCTGGGCGCTGTGTGTACGGAGGAGGCAGCACGGCACTGTGCACGGGACAACTCCGACAAACTGCCCAACTTCTCCGCTCTGCTACAGCCAATCCCCGAATTTGCTCTGATTGGCTGCTAGCCCGCTATGTAAGGCGGCCTCGCCCCTGCATCCTGGACACGCCTCCTTCTCGTTGTTTTGTATGGCGGAGGCACGGGGAGCGGCCACGCCTTCTGTCCGCCCGTCAGCCAATCGGAGCACGGAGACAAGTTAGAATAAAACTTTTCAATGTTCCAAAACAGAGAGGGAAAGGCCTACTGGATCAATGAAGGGGCCACTGATGTGTAAATTATCAGGGGCCACAGACATATCAGTTATCAGGGGCCACAAACATATCAGTTATCAGGGACCACAGACATGTCAGTTATCAGGTCTCATAAAATAATCAGTCCTAAAAAACCAAATGCACAAACTTTTATTTATTTATTATTATTATTATTGTTTTATGCTGTACTGTGCTGTTTATTACAGATCAATGACATTGTATATACTCCCTCTGCTTCCTCTTGTACCAAACTGTATTGTAACTGTAATGTCTACCTTCATTTTGTAAAGCGCTGCGCAAACTGTTGGCGCTATATAAATCCTGTATAATAATAATAATAATAATAATAATAATAAATAATAATAATAAATAATAATACCTTTGTTCAGAACAAATTCAACAAACCAGCTATAAAGTAATAATAAGAATAACAGTAGATTATTATTATTATTATTATATCTGGCTTGTTGTGAACAAAGGTGTGTGTGTATATATATATATATATATATTTAAAATGTAATGGATCTGTATGGCAGCATGTTTGTATTTCCATTGTATTGTGTATGAAATCACTTTCTCCATCATTTCTCTGGATACATACATTTTATGCTCTACTTAATGCGGGTACACAGTTTATGCAATATCGGACATTACATTACATCTGATACATTTATATAGTTTTGTCATCAAACCATGATTCTGAAGAATGAAACATCTCTGAAAAATGATTACATTGTACAAGTGTCCTCTGGACTGGCCATTCCTGTTACTCCTGGGTTTATAAATATCTATTTACTAAAGTAGCTTAGAATATTTACAAAGAAAAAAGAGAAATGGAGTTTTACTTCATTTATCCTATCATGTAAAAAATAAATTCATGATTATTTCATCTGCACATGATTGGATAATTGCAGTTATTTTTTTTTTGTTTTGTTTTTTGCTTTGTTTTTTAACTTTTGTTCTTGTGTTTTGTAATTTTTTATTTTTTTTTTTTTTGGAACATTCTCAATGCTTTAGTAAATCATTCTCAACTTTCAATGAATATTACCAATACATAGAGGCTGGTTTACTGATGGAGTTGAGAATATTCGCACAACAATGTGTATGAATATTGACTTCGATATTCCAATTTTTTTGAAAAACAAATTGTTTAGTTATTTTGCATCTGCATGTGTTTCGATAATTGAAGCGAATATTCAGAAAATATACTGTATCTGTAATGTGTAATGGCTCGCAACCTCTTTAATAAATAAGCCCAATAGAGTTACAAAACTCCTCTCTCTCTACAATAACTTTGCTACATAAAACTACATTTTTGATAGATAATAGATAGATAGATAGATAGATAGATAGATAGATAGATAATAATAGATATAGTTAGAGATATATAGATATTGATAGATAGATAGATAGATAGATAGATAGATAGATAGATAGATAGATAGATACATGGCTCTATATTATAGGTGTATGTAACAAGGTCATTATTGTACAGTGCTATGGAGATCCCAGAGCCAGACAGACAAATCCCCAAAAGACATTTGGAGGATTTGGGGATCATTTCCTATAGCTGTCAGAGGATGCCCATATTTTTTTATTTCTGAAAAATTTCCTCCATCTGCTATATTAGATTATATTTGCTTATGTGTATGAATAACCTTTTTTCCATCACTTTCATCTTTTTATGTACTGTGCAATGCACTTAAAATGAGTCCACGCTACCTTGAATACATTACACGTTGGGGTTGATTTACTAAAACTGGAGAGTGCAAAATGTGGTGCAGCTCTGCATAGAAACCAATCAGCTTCCAGGTTTTATTGTCAAAGCTTAATTGAACAAACTGAAGTTAGAAGCTGATTGGCTGCCATGCACCAGTTTCTGCACTCTCCAGTTTTAGTAAAGCAACCCCAGTGTGAGGTCTTTAATACAAAGTTCCATGTGTGAATCATATCAGTTGTTACAATAATAATTAAATATATTGGTTAGGGACTGATGTGTACGTACAATACATGTAAAGCGCTGCATAAATTGACGGTGCTATATAAGTACCTGTAATAAATAAATAATATTGGTTTCCTAAAGGTATATATATATATATATATATATATATATATATATATATATATATATATAGTTCTGCTCACTTTCAGCATCCTATAAGTGCAAGCAATCCATCTGTACCCAGCTCCTGAAATGATTGGACAGGGTGATAAAAGCTAGCAGCATGATTATCGGCGCAGGTTTGGCGCAGCGTTTTGTGGCTGCGGATGGTAATTGCTGGATGTTGAACTTGTGGCAGCCCCCCCCCCCCCCCCCCCCCTTCTCCCTGTCACCCCGCCGCTGTTGTTCTTCCTTTGTGTTGATAAGCAGTGATAGGAGCCCAGCACGCCGTCTGTAAATAGCCCGGCCAGGCTGGACAATAGCCGCGCTCATCCTGTTTGTCATCCACTCCAAAACCCCTCCGAATCAGCGGATTTTCCTGCCCGATCCTTCCAAAAATAGACTCCCCTCCAGTATTTTAAGGCACAGGCAGCGATCCTTATTTCTTCCGGAGAAGCAATATAAAAAAAAACAATTGTGTCCCTAATAACTGGCAGAGCATTTCCCTTTCCAATATTTGTCCGCCTTTATCTGCTGCGCCAAGGAGCGCTCAGTGACGCAAATCCGCTCCCAGACCCCAAAATATCGCAAGGAAGGATTGTGCGGACACAAACACGGGCGCGGGGGCTTTCATCTGCCTTTCCGATGGGCTGCAGAGGACAAGGAAACATCACAGGGCCCCAAAAATGAGCCCAACTAATCACTCCATTATCTGGGGGGGCTGGGACTTCACAGTCTATAGCGCCTGCAGATACCGGAGGTAGGATTCATGAAAAGGGAAAGAGGTCTTTCAGTGTCAGTGCTTCATAAAGGAGAAAGTTTATTTGTGTAGGAAGGAGTCACTTTTGGTGTTTATTATCACTTTATATAATGTATGGATGCCTTTCTGATTTATAATAGAACGTTATATTTTTGTACAGGAGACAGCATTGACCTAAAGATGAATCTTCATAGAATAAACGATTGTTTCTCTGTATGCTGGAATGATTACAGTGTTACCATTTGTTTTACATCAAGACATTTTTATTGGCCACAAGTAACTTCTCTATTATTATGACCATTCTCTGTATCTCTGTTAAATGTTGTTTTTCTTTCTTTCTTTCTTTCTTTCTTTCTTTCTTTCTTTCTTTTTTTTCTTTCTTTCTTTCTTTCTTTCTTTCTTCTTTCTTTCTTTCTTTTTCTTTCTTTTTCTTTCTTTCTTTCTTTCTTTCTTTCTTTCTTTCTTTCTTACTTATATTTATATTTAATTTTCTTATTTTTTCCACTCTCATTCTCCATGTATAGGTTGATATATTAAAGGAGTTGACAATCTTCACTCAAAAATGTACAGTAATATTAACTTCATTTAATCAATCACATGAAAAGCAAAGTTTGGCTCATTTTGAAGACCTAATCAATCATATGCGGATGTTTTTCACATGATTGCATAACTGAAGTGAATATGTACACTTATTTTGTTATTTATTTATGTATTATTATTTATTTTAATATCCTCAATTTTCTTTTCTTCCTTCCTTTTTCTTTTTCTTTCTTTCTTTTTCTTTCTTTCTTTCTTTCTTTCTTTCTTTTCTTTCTTTCTTTCTTTCTTTCTTTCTTTCTTTCTTTCTTTCTTTCTTTCTTTCTTTTTTCTTTCTTTCTTCTTTCTTTCTTTCTTTTCTTTCTCTCTCTCTCTTTTGTTTTCTTTCCTTCTGTCTCTCTTTGTTCTCTCTCCCATTTTCTGTCCTTCTCCACCACCCCTACTCTCTCTCCCTGTTCTTGCCCCCTCTCAATTTCTCTCTCCCTCTGTCACTTTCCGACTTCTATTTTTTCTTTCTCTCCTTCTCTGTCTATTTTGTCTCCTCTTTTCTGTTTTCTTTTCCTCTTTTTTTCTCTTTCTTTTCTTTGTTCTTTCTGACATTCTGTCTTTCTCTTTCCCACACCCCTCACTTCCACTCTCTCTCTCTCTCATTGTCTGTCTTTTTCATCTTTCTATCCCTTCTCTGTTTTTCGCTGCCTTTTTTTCTCTCCTTCTCTCTCTCTGTTCTCTTTCCTTCTCATCTCTCTCTCTCTCTCTCCCCTCCCCCTCTCTCTCTCTCTCTCTCTCTCTCTCTCTCTCTCTCTCTCTCTCTCTCTCAACTCTCTTTTCTCTCTCCATTGTTTTACAGCTGACCCTGTTCTGTCTCACAACCAGTCTCAGGTCTCTTCATCTCCTGTTTAGAACACAATTATGAAGATTCCTGCCCTCCATTCTCTCCATGCCCCAGCCTGGTCTATTGTGCTCCTCCACTGACATCATGTAAACATGAGTCCCCCCAGAAACGAAACAGTCATTAATCCTCCAGGTTAATTGCACCTTAATAGAAGCTCTGTCCAAACATGGGCATTTACTCAGATGAACATGTAATAAATGACTTCCAAGCTTTGCCTGAACTCCTGTCCTGCCTGTCCATCCAAGGTTACCTTCTGTAAGAAAATCATCATTTCACACAACTTATTAAAAGCTTCCTCATCTGTGTGACCCATTACAGCCCTGCTCAATACTTGTTTACATAACTGAGATT